ATATATATTAATAATAATAACATTAATAAATATATGTGTATATATATATATATATATATCTTAAATGCAAATTACAAATTAAAATCGATATTTCGTGTTACGGATGTGCATTTCTCATATAGCACGTTTCTAACATGAAGTATCGATTTAAATTTATATATTCTCTATTTCTTTTCTCGTGATGTGGTAAAAATATAAATATATTATTACGAGACAAAACGATTTTTTGTGAAGCTATCAGTTACAAAAAGATTTCGAGAAGTCGTTATAAAGCAATTGCTTTTTAAAGGCAACTTATGACATATATTTTGCTAAAATTTTTTTTTCGCGTATCGATACATGTGTATCGCACTTTCCTACATTATCTTCATATTAATAACGCGATACATCGTTACATCAGGGTTATGATCGATTTGACTTTTAGCGCTTTCAGTATTTCTATTCTTATTTTATATTTAATGAACGATAAAGACAGAATGATGATTACAAGCGCTTAAAGTCCCTGAGCGTCCAAATCGACCGCAGCTCAGATGTCATTAAAGTCTGTTCAAAATTCTAGAGAAAGAGAGAGAGAGAGAGAGAGAGAGAGAGAGAGAGAGCTTGAAAAATTTTATACTTAGAATAAATATGTTTAAAATATATTAAAATGAGATAAATATATTCGAGCGTTGAAGAGAAAAAAGCGAAGATATTCAATGCGAAAAATGCAAACAACGTGAACAAACCAACGCCCCACCAGAGTGCAGAATATTTTTTCCTTTTTTCCTTTATCGGTCAGCTGACAACGTTGCAAGTTATTTAAGTAGCTCGTCGCCAGTCAGGTTACTTCAGTTGCCTTCACTTTCAGCAGATATTTGGCGATATCGATTTTAAAGTAAGTGAATTTCGCTGTGATTCTTAAGTAAATTCTCATTAATTCGGCTCTGATAAGGCTATTTCATCACTCGAATTAGTCCCCTGCCAAGAATATAATCTCTTTAATCAGCTACATTGTTTGCTATGGGGCCGTGGAAACATGCGAACTAGGCGAGTGCAAAAAGTGTAGAGAAGAATCTCAAACAGAATGCCCTCGCAAATTTAAATTCTACGAACGTTATTCAAAGCTCGATCTTTAAAAAAAATGAATACTTCTTTTTTTTTTCTTAACATTTATTGTTATTTATAAATAACAAGATTTATAAATAACAAGACAAGATTTTATTTCCTAATTTGTATTTGACAATTTCAATTTTTATCGAAGATTTATTGCGTTTCACTTTTTATGTTACGTAAATATGTTATCTTTAAGTCGCAAATTGTTATCGTGTGTATTGTTCAGTATAAATAGATTGTGTTAAAATTACGTTAATTTTAATTAATTAATCTATTTCTTACATTTACGTTGAATGAAGGACTGAACAACACGCACAGTACACACAATTTAATTTGCGTTTAGAATAAAAAGTTACAAAAAAAATAAGACGCAATAAATCTGCGATGAAAATTAAAATTACGCGTATAAATGTTATTATTATATTATTGTTACTAATAAATATATCAATAAAAAAACGATATAGACGAAACTCCTGTTTAGGGATTCCCGAATATGTTCAGGTAAAGTGAATGGGGTCCTCTAAACAGGAGTTTCAAACAATATTTCTATTAATTACAGCATATTAATAATAAATAATATTTTTAATTAATATTTGCAGAACATTTTTTTACTGAATAAACAATGACTTCAAAAGAAGGTTTCGCGACGATAGCTATCCATGCCGGGCAAGATCCTGATCAGTGGAATCATTGCTCGGTTGTACCACCTATGGTGATGTCGACTACTTTTAAACAGGATAGTCCAGCGCCGCCCAGAGTAAGTACTAAACGTCTGACTCATCAAGATTCATCCATATATAGCTCTTAATAATTAGTCCTTGTTACTCAATCAATTAATGTCAATTGTATCTAGCAAAAATTGCATTAAGTTTCTGTAGCTATTAATAAAGTTAAAGTTACATATACAAGCTATGAAAATAGAATATTTTTTTTTATAAATCAATTTATATTATTTTCTGTCGAAAAGTTGAAACAAATAAGTAACACGAAAATGAAACAAATAAGAAACAGATAAATAGATAAGAAGATGAAAAACAAGTAAATGAAACAGATGAGAAACAGAGATAAGTAGATAGAAAAAGGAATGACTTGGAAATTTAATAGCTAAATAAATGGCTTAACAAGAAAAATGCGAGTCGAATGTGCTCGAAACAAATATTTCTGTATACTATAAGCATTTAGTATAATTTTAAAACATATTGGCTTTTTTTATTAAATTGGGAAACAAATAAATAAGTAATATATTACAAAAAACAAAAGTAATATAAACAAATAAATAAGTAATATATTGAACGTGTTTGAATATTATTGCAAAAAATCAACAATCTTGTATAATGGCATTTTAACTTTAATTGTTTCATTTCATATTTAGGAATATGTATATAGCAGAAGTGGCAATCCTACACGTAATGTTCTAGAGACGTGCTTAGCTGCTTTAGAGAATGGCAAACATGCCTTTTGCTTCTCTTCTGGATTAGGTACTCTTACTGCTATTGTAGGTTTTTTGGAAGCAGGAGATCATATGATTGTCGGAGATGATCTTTATGGTGGTACTAATCGTTACATTCAAAAATGTAGTAGCAAACAAGGTATAAGATATACTTTCGTTGACATGACTGATGTACAAAATATTATAGATGCCATACAGCCAAATACAAAGGTAAATAAAAAACTAAAAATATAGTTCTTTATACTTTGTATTAAAATATAATATTTTGTATTTTAAATATTATATTTTTTAATATCATATTAGTATTTTCTGTATTATAATTCATTCTATCTATTGTAGATGATATGGCTAGAAACGCCGACAAATCCTTTGATGAAACTAGTAGATATAAAGGCTATTGCTGAAAGTTTGAAATCTCATCCAGATATTATACTAGTCGTTGATAATACATATTTGACATGTTATTTCCAAGTAAGTTGTTATTTCCAAGTAAAATTGAGAAAAATTGTATTCAATCAATGAAAGAAACTGCAACCAATATATTATGCTTGTAAAATAGAAACCTCTTGACCTTGGTGCCGACATAGTGATGTATTCATTGACAAAGTATATGAATGGCCATTCGGACGTCATTATGGGTGCTGCTATAACGCGTCGGGACGATCTCGGAGAGAGATTGAAGTTCAATCAAAATGGTAAATCAACAAGAGCTTTTTCGAGATGCACATTTGAAGATTTTATATAACATTTTCTTTTTCGATTTAGCTATGGGAATTGTTCCATCGCCATTTGACTGTGCCTTAGTCAATCGTAGCTTGAAAACGCTCGAACTAAGAATGCAGAGACATATGAAAAATGGTTTAGCAGTAGCTACATTTCTCGATTCTCATCCTAACGTTGAGAAAGTGATTCATCCACGTATGTAACCGTACAATTTTTTGTTATCTTTACCTTGTATATTTCTAAAGTAGAAGCGTATATAAAATTAATAATTTGAATAATTAATATAACGATAAAAGATAAAATCTTTACAAGATAAAATACGTGTTGTTACATTGCAGTTTTCACATCGCATCCACAACATGAGCTTGCACATACACAACAAACAGGACACAGCGGCATGATTTCTTTCTATCTGAAAGGTGATTCTAAGCGTTTTTTGCAAGCATTGAAAGTTTTCACTTTAGCTGAATCTTTAGGCGGTTACGAATCGCTAGCCGAATTACCGTAAGTATATTCGAGAAATATATATTAAAAATATATTAAATATATATTATATATTATATATATGTTATATATATGTATGTATGTATGTGTGTATGTGTGGGTGTGTGTGTGTGTGTGTGTGTGAAACATAAAAATGATAAATTAGTTTTTTATTAAAAGAGAAACAT